CTCCGACACCCAACTCGCCATGTGCATGGGGACCAAGGCTGACACTTACGCGGGAATGGAGACCCTGGCAAGAATTATCTACGAGGATCCAAATATCCTGCGATTTGCCAAAGCCAGGAGAGCGAACTTGACGAATGCAGCTGGTTGAGGGATTGTTTTCGTTTGGCTCACGATGATTTCTTTTAAACGTGTGACTTCGTTCCAGTGACAACGTGTTGACTTGTTAGCGACGTGTCACTGGACCCTAGCTACGAGTAAATGAGGAATAATAAATGTTGAATGGTGAATAAACATCAGTTAGGTGAATAAACATCAATGGACATTGGAATAGTTGATATTTTTTAAATTATTTGATATGCAAGTGGGTACATAAAGTCTGGACCGTCAGTAAATATTAGAAGTCTCATATCTGGTATCATATTCTTATTCTCTATGTGTCCAGACTATAGAATCACCATGTATATTTGATACTAACCAAAAGCCACGTTTAGTATCAACTATAACTAAGAACAGTTTTAGAGAACTTTAGAAAATTGTGTACGTCCCATAATTGTCACTTACAATCCTAGTCAGTGATCTTTTATTTTTTAGATTTTTTCTATTAATTAGCAAAATATGAATTTAGTTGTAATTGTATAAAGGAGTATGAATTAATGAAAGAGGTATAATGTTACCTCTTGTAGATTTGTAATATTTCTGATATTTTGGAATTGTATTTTTCTATATATATTGGTTATTTCTAAACGTTATTTAATATGTCTTAATTAGTCTTTAAGAGTATTAAATTTTACATGAAAATGTTCTTTTTATCTTCTTTGTAAGAAATTCTATTTTTATTTTAAATTTGACCAAGTAATACTCAAAATGATATGTCAAAGAGTTTTGCAAGACATTTTTTGAAGTTCTCTAAGGTATCAAGTAATTTTTATTAAAAAAAAAAGCACGATGAGATGAATTTATCATGAGAGATAAACAATTGACAATTGAAAGTTGAGAATTCATTCAGAAATTGTAAATGAAAGAAATGAATTGAAAAGTGAATATTTATTCGTGAACTGAGAATTGAAAAAATAAACTGTAAGCCGAGTATTTATTCACAGAGAAACAAATCGTCTCGTAGCGGGTGCGAAAACTCATTCGTCCGAAAAACACAGCTGCAATCGACGTGTTAAGGTAGAAAGTGCGTCTCCAAGAACGTCTTTCAGTTAGAACATTTTGTGTAAATACACGGTGTGATCGTGGCTCGTTTTTACGCGAAAGTGTCGGATATTTAACAAATCCATGCGAATTCACCAAAGCCATTTCCGTATGAATTTAATACCGTAATACCAATTTCCTGTATGGATAAAACAGAACCTGAGATTTAATTTAACGACTAACGGAAACATATTTAATTGAACGGATAACAAGTTCCCGAATCGTGTAAGCGACGTTTGTGCTACCTTTGTAAGAATATTATTATCGATTCACAGGGTGCTTTACAATGGAAAATGTGAGATACACAAAATTTTATTCTATTTCTTCTGTTTCCATTTTATTTTATTCATAATAGTAATTTCAATTTTCATTCAACCAGCAATTAATAGAAAATAATTCATTGCTGGTGATGAACAAAATTTTAGTCTATTTCTTACATCTCTATTTTATTTTATTTATAATAGTAATTTCAATTTTCATTCAACCAGCAATTAATAGAAAATAATTCATTGCTGGTGATGAACAAAATTTTAGTCTATTTCTTACATCTCTATTTTATTTTATTTACAATAGTAATTTCAATTTTCATTCAACCAGCAATTAATAGAAAATAATTCATTGCTGGTGATGAACAAAATTTTAGTCTATTTCTTACATCTTTATTTTATTTTATTTACAATAGTAATTTCAATTTTCTGTCTAGATAAATATTTTCGCTATTGGCACCCTGTGTATCGAAAGATTACCATTATTTGCGCTATGAATGTGATGTATTGCTTTCTGATTGCTACTAATGTAGAAATACCAGCGCCAAATACATTTCGTTACGCGTCGAAAGGTACACCTACTACTATCTCCTTTTATAAATGAATAATGCATTCTATGGTGAATTATACATCGTACACTTCGTGTTTATCTCAACGTCTCCGATTTTTGGGGACGCGTAAAATCTGCTTAAAGGTTACGGAAAATTTCGCGCGATAGGAAGAACGCGTGGATGCGTAACTTAAGTCGATTTAAGATGCCAATACTCCTAAGAAGGTTATATCGAACCAGTTGTGTAAGTACATGTGATATTATCGTGCCTTTGTATAGATCTTTATTTGTGAATTTTACGTACTGCCTATTTTATCGTATTTGTACCTACGCGCGTTCACTTGTGAAAATGTGGCGAGTCCCAAACGGCTTGCATAATCGTTTATGCAATTCGCATTTCGATCGCTCGCTAAGATGCTTCGACATTTCATCGGATACCGAATAAAATTTCTCTATTGAATAATCGCGTTGCGTCAATTGCTACACCTACAGACAACGGTTCCCCTCGATAATTAACTCATTTGAATCATGCGACAGAATTACAGATACCTTATCGCGACGTTTTGCTTATTTAATAAAAGTACAAACAAAATTTAAGAAGCACTGCAAACGTAATCTTTCGGGGATCTTTATAGGATGAATTTTCGAAATCTATCCTCTTAATATTTAATCTCTTAATTTTAACATTAACACGAGAAGCCATTGAAAGTTTTAAATGGTGCATGGAATTTTTTCGATTTTCTTTTCATAACTCTGGTAAAAATTGATGAAATGATTTGAAACTTTGCAGAGTTGTTACTTATAACACCTGGAAGAAATTCCCGCAAAATTTAAATTTTTTCCTTAAATATTTCCTTGTATACCAGCCCAATAAATATGAAGTTATTTTCTCTGCTCAAAATATTTTTATAATATTTCAAGTGTTCTTTAGAAATTCTCGGACTAGTCCTGGACTCTCAGCAGTGTTTATCTAGTTCTCTCATAACTCAATTCGACCTCGTCTCTAGTAGCAAACATTCACGATGCCTTCTGCATTTTTTGCAGTTAGAAAGTACATTTCAACTTATAAGGTTCCGCTGAAGGTCCCTTTATGGATCGTGTCGAAACTTGCCAATTAATGGACGATTGGAATTAACTGATATCTACCGAATCTTTCCTCGACATCGTTCGCTTCCCATCGCGAACCGGCGATTTCCTTTTACAAAAATCTGCGATCGGTCTGGCTCGACGAGCATCGTCTGCAATAAATGGCGAAGGAAAAATACTATGGGTAAGTTTTCTTTTTTCGCTCTGGTTTCCTTATTCATTCCTCTTCCTTTATTCAACGATCTTTTTCTTTGCTCTTATAAGTACGTTGCCTCCGTCTACTTTTAATTTCAATAATGAAATTCCTTAAAAAATCCAAGGCGGGCAAAGTCGCTGGTAATAATAGCCTGTTACACAATAATAGCAATTCAGAGGTGTCCTCTAGATCAGAGTTTCTCAGTCAATGTTTCGTTCTGAATTTTCTTTGGTTTATAATCCCCACATTTTGTGATCGTTGTTGGTCACTAAATAACTTATTAATGATATGCAATACATACCTTAACACTTCCAGTGCCAGGCACAATTATAAAAATATTTATGTAGTTAAAATTTGGTTCTATAAAATTTGATAAAGTATTACTTTCGCACCCTGGTCAAAATTTACGAATTCTATCCAGGCTTGATTTCTTTAACACCTGATCTTCAGAATTAATTTTTTAATTTCTCAGTGAAAATCCCTACACTTTACGTGGCGTTCAACGTGTTAATATGACACATGCAGTAAATTAAAATAAAATAGTACGAAAGTATAAAATTTCTGTTCGTCTTTCGCTTGTGGTCCCCAAAAAAATGTAACGTGACCTACTGCTGGGCCACATCGTGCCCGTTGAGAACCCCTGCTCTAGAATGTACGTCGACCAATTGCATTTATGCAATGTCTGCACACAAATGTACATAATTGTAAATATTACATAGTAATTAGTGTAGAAAGTGAACGTGCACAGTGTCGCGTAACGTTCTCCATCACCCATCACGTATTAAACACTCGAAATAAGGAATTCTTGAATACCCAGTTTAGTACCTCTATTTTTTACTCACGCCACAGTCGAGTTTTTCTCCCATTTGGTTAACAAATTAATTAAGTTTTAGGGTAATTATTGTATACAGGGAACCACTTATTCTAAGTATACACATCGTATGCCTTATTACCTTAAAAGAATTCCAAGCAGGAGCAACAACCTTACCGATTGTGAGTCAGTTTAACGAGGCCTCTCGCTTCGCAATTATCATCTCACGAGACCGATCAATAGTTTCATTTTCACTGATTCGTCACATATAAAAATTCTACACAACATATTCAGTTCGGAAAGTACACTCATCCATTAAGTATCACTGCACTATTACAGCGTATTAAATACACGATACCATTGTATTTTGAATATTTAAATATAAATTTTATATTATATTCATATTATATTTATAAATTGATGGTAAGTCACTTTTACTAGTTTCACAAAATATCACACTTCACAAAACATTTTCATATGCAATATTTGTATGATATACATCTATTATATTTAATATGCATCACACAAATATAAATTGATGGTTAGTCATTTTGACCAGTTTCAATATCAATATGAACGCTTCAGTATGAATTTCAGAACGATTAAAACGTTATACAAAATATACAAGTGGACAGCCTTCAATTTAATTCCCCATAGCGAGAATCGAAACATGTTGACACCCATAATTAACATTCAAACAGTTGTTTCACCCGCCCAATACCATACACCGCAAAATACCCACAAAACAAAGGAATCTCGTAACTGAAAGAAACCTAACAGGAAAAACCGGCTAACAATAAGCGTGAAGCTCGCAACTGGCCACGCCAACGCGTAGGAAATGATAATTTATCGCCCAAGATCAAGGCTCCCGTCGTTCGTCATAAACGCAGCAGACGGCACCAGCCGGACAGTGAATAGCGTCGCACTTAGGCGCGAGTCCTCGTCGCGGTTGCGTCGATTAGCTTCAAACGTCTTCAACTTCCCGTTCTTCAACGTCCAACATCATAAAGCTCATCGATGGGAAAATCAAGCGTGAGACTGTGCCTGCTGGCTGTCCTGATCCTCGCGATGGACGTCCACGTGAACGCAAAGATTCTGTCAGAGTGCGACGCCGTTCGCGAGCTCCAACGAGCTCGGATCTCGAGGAGCCTCATCAGCAACTGGGTGTGCTTGATGCAGAGCGAGAGTGGGTTGAACACCCAGCTGGTCACTGGCCCGAAGACAGCCTCCAGCTTCAGCTACGGCATCCTTCAGATCAACAGCTCCAAATGGTGCACCAGAGGACGACGCGGAGGACTCTGCAACAAGCGCTGCGAGGACTTCACCAACGACGACATCCAGGACGACATCGCGTGCGCGAAGATCATCTACGATCAGGAGGGGTTCAAGGCGTGGGACGGATGGCTGAAGAGGTGCAAGAGCAAACCCCTTCCTAATATCGGGAACTGCGCGAAAAAGTGACGAGTAGTATTCGAAACGTTTTTGTATTGTTGTTATCAGCTTGGTTGACACTATAAGTACTATTCAGGGATAGTCCACAATATTCCGAGAGGATTTTTTACGTTAAGAGCATTTTTTGACTGAAGATTGATGCATTCCCACAGAATATTTCGTTGCCAGAGTATTTCGTTGCATCGTCGATCTATTTGTAATTAGCTTGATTTTCTCTGTTTTATAATTGATGTTTAATGATGCGTTGCTTTTTTGTTGAAATATATTTTATTGAATTAAATTTGCCATAAGATGAGAAATATGTCTGTTTTATACTGGATTTTTAATAATGCTTCATTGTTTTGGTGGGAATATATTTTACAGAATTAAATTTGTCATAAGATGAGAAATATGTCTGTACGTCTTCTATAGTGGATTTTTAATAATTCTTTATTTTTTGGGTAGAAATTTATTTTACAGAATTAAATTTGCCACAAGATAAGAAATATGTATACACTGGATTTTTAATAATGCCTCATTGTTTTGGCGGGAATATACTTTACAGAATTAAATTTGCCATACGATAAAAAATATGTCTGCACGTGTCCTACACTTTATTATTAATAATGCCTCATTCTTTTAGTGGAAATATATTCAGCCCCATAAATATTCGTTCCCTCTATGTCAATTGAAAAAAATCCAAATGAAATGATAGGTTTGATGTTTCCAAATAAATGTATAATTATAAAAATATGTGTACTATTTATTCATGTACATGTTTATAACGAAACATTTAATTAGGAACTTCAAACCTATCATTTCATTGAGACTGATTCTTGTAATAAATACAGATGGTACGAATATTTAGGAGACTGATTCGTGGTACCAATTATCGGTTCCTCCCATAAATTCAGCAGGTGTCTCTTAACGTCATGTGTCTGTTAGGAATTTTATTATCACGCTGTTACTTAGAAGTAGAGATTCTAGTGAATGCAAATACCGTTATCAGCCAACTTCCAGGGAAATTGTATACTACAACATTATCATTTAGACGGCATCTGTATCAAGTGGAATTATGTAACGAGCTATCTGCAACGTAATGTCCTCTACTCGCAGATATAACTGTTTCAAAACAATAACAGATAGAAAAAAACAACACTCGACGATGTAAGGCGGTACAAATGAGAAAATACATGAACTGCGAATTTCTTTCAAAATTAATTTCTTTTTAAATAAATGGTGTTCCTTTCTTTGTTCTTTTGTTTATTGTATGCCTCTCTGTGTTCATGGACAGGATACGCCCATGGCGGTCGGTGATCTGACGAATGGATTACATGATTATAATATTTACATATTCATGGGATTTACTGGCCACTTCGAGTCGATATTTCTCGACTATGATTGCTAGTCGATCGAATTGAATCGGTGTAACGAACCTATGGCAAACGTCCCGCGATTGGCACACGCCTTAATTAATTATTCAAGAAATATCCATTGTTGCTTTGACTTTTGGTTACTCTGCATAGCAGAGGTTGAACAATGAATATTCATTTGTTCGTAGGATGGCGATTATGAAAGTGACCCGAGTCATGATAATATTCATGTCATACATCAAAAATAATTTATTCCATATAGATGGTTCCGAAGAATTATCATTGAATTTTTGAAAATTCACTTTGAAAATTTAAAAGAAGCAACTTATTATTAGATAAGGTAGAGATACTGTTATTATAATTCCTCAACTATTTTCACCAAGGAAACCATATTT